CTCGAAAAATAGTCAGTTTTAGGTAAAAATAGTCTTTTTACCTAACAGTTGGCCTATGGTTTACCTTGCTCTGATCACTCCAAGTCAGGGAATACAGTCAGCCAGCAGTCATCGAGTTTGTGCTTGAAGCTTATCACATTCGTTGCTGTGATCACTGCTTCTGGGAGTTTGTTCCAGCTGTTCACTACACGGTGTGTTAGAAACTGTGCTCGAACTTCCATACTGGAACGCTCTTTTGACAATTTCAGAGTGCCCACGTAATGCCACATTGTCACCGAAAGGGAACAGTGCAGCACCCGTATCAGTTATGCCTTCTATGCTCTTAAACGTTTCTATTAGATAACCCCTAAGGCGTCTACTTTTCAGAGAGAATAAGTTCAGTATAGATAGACGAGTTGGGTACTTTTGTCCCCTAAGGTGGGGGAAGCACCTCGTGAACCTGTGTTCAACCGCCTCTGGGACCTTCCTGTCCCGCTCCAGGTATGGTGACCACGCTTGGATGCAGTATTCTAAGTGTGGTCTCATACGCTTTATACTGGAGTAATAATACATCTGGATCCCGCGAGACAACAGTTCTCAGCAGTTGGTGCAGTGCGTTACTCGCTTTACGTGCCGCCAGTAGGTACTGCTTTTCTGACTTGAAATTACTGGTAACATGAATTCCCAGGACCCTCATTTCGTCACTTCTTTGGAGTCCCACTGGGTTGTTAGTGTTAATCCACCGTACTGGGCCTGTGCTTTCAGTCTCTATCAGCTGTCTACACTTGGTCACGTTGAGCGGTAGCTCCCGGTCTTCAGTTCAGCGTATGAGTATATCCAAATCCCTCTGCATGGTCTGGTTGGAGGGGGAACCCACCAGTCTCAGGTCATCAACCAACATGAGTACTGAGTTCTCTATCCTCGTCGGTAATCCATTTACATAGACTAGGAATAGGAGAGGACCTAAAGCTGACCCCTAGGGGACTCCATTTGCTATCCTGCCTGCCATCAATTAGGACCCTTCTGTGTTAACGTGTAAAGTCCTTCCTCTCGGGAAGTCTTCCGTCCATGCAAGCAGTTTCGGGTGAGTTTTGAAGGCCCTAAATTTCAGAAGCAGTAGCCTGTGGTTTACAGAGTCAAAGGCCTTTGGGAAGTTCAAGTAGTAGAACTTTGCCCTATCCCCTCTATCCAGCCTTTCGATGACTGGATACGCGTCAATAGTCGTCTGTGCGCAATGAGGCTACAGGGATTAGTTAGTGTT